ACTGCCATCTCAACAGAGCTGTTCTCATTCTTCAGTTTTATTCTGATGAATCAGCTGACCACCATGCCCACCTTCGCCTGTCTCTGACTTCCATCATGTCCGGAATTGCTGCAGTCAGACTGGAATCTGATCATGGATGGGAAAGGGACATTGAGGTTATGCTTGCCTGAGTGCAGCATCTGCCTCATCACCTCATACAGAGAGCCTGTACAGAACCCTGTGAGGCTCGTTTTAACAGCAAGCACTCCCGTGCACAAAATATAGTAGAGCGAGCCTTTGGCATGCTGAAAACACACTGGTGCTCTATTTTTTTCACGGCCAGAGGTGAGCCATGCCTTTGTCCCTGAGGTTGTTGCGTGCTGCGCATCGTTGAACCAGAGGATGAAGAAGACCATGATGATGGCCCCCCTGAACCCCACAACCTTGAAAAAGAGTGGGAGAACATGTGCGGGTACAATCTGGCTGTCACTGTGTCTGCTCCAAACATTTGTGTGCCTGCTCTCCATGAGCATGAATACCTGTAGAACATTTAAATAAGTTAAAATAAATACATGAATAAATGTAAATGTGATTTTTGTAAATCCTTTTTTGTAAGTGTCTCGAACACAAACGTTCAATAAAGCTGCTTGTTTCTTAAAGTTTATTTCTTCAAGGTACTACTGTATAATATAAATGCATACATACATTTCAAACAATTGCTATTTGGGGGCTTAAAGGGTTAGTTAACCTTAAACATATACATTCAGTCATTATTTACTTGCCTTCACGCTAGTCAATCCCTGTGGGTTTTATTTGTTTTGTTTTTAAAACTCAAAAGGTGATTTTGGTCAGGTGTGTCCTGCTGGTTTCTGTTCGTACAATATCAGTCAATGGAGCCCGACTTCCAGAAGCTTCGTGACATTATTTGATGATGCTTGTGAAGCTTCTGAAAGTTGGGCTCCATTGTAAGAACAGAAACCAGCAGAAAAAACTTGACCAAAATCACATCCTCAATGTCTTTTGGTCTTTTTCTAGAAGCACTCGCTGGCTCTGGGCTCACTGAGGATGAAGAGACCACAGCAACATCCAGGCCAGATGAGGCAATAAGGGCAGGTGGAGTGATGGAGGGTCTCATCCATGGCACTACATCATTTCCAGGATGCTGCTGTGGCTCCCCATCCTCAGTGCTCATACCAGTCTGCGGACATTTCACATGCTACAAAAAATGCACAAACGTCACCTTGCCTTGCAGGCCCTGCTCCACCACAAAAGCTCTGCAGCAAATGCACAGAAATCAAGAATCAGGAAAGTGCTGTAATAGCTCTTTTTAAAATTACAATGTTTAAAATAAACTACAACTTGAGATTTAAATAGATTTTTTTACTCATTTCTGTTGTATACTCACTCAAAGCCTTTGATGGATGCATTCCGCTTCATTAGCCAATCACCACCAGATAAAAACACACCTGTGCTCATCTGTCCCTGTAACATCCAAACAAGATTCAAGTTTCCTCTGTGATTTGTGTGCTCAATACTAAATTCATTGTTGAGGTAGTTGCTGATGGGTTAACTCACTTTTTATCCAACACATATGTTCCTTAATTATCAACTGTACTAATGGACAAATAAAATAGATAACTCAAATGTAGTTACTTTATGTAGATTAAACTTGAATCTAGCGTCTTTACACCTTCAACAATTCAACAGTTTACTCTACAGTAGTTAAACAAATGCAATTTTAACACAAGGAATCGTGTTTACTCGCATTTGAAAACACTATGAAACACATAGAAGCACTATGGCTGCCATCGCATCATCCAGATGGATGCTGTGCATTGGTGGTGGTTGAGGAGATTCTCCCTTCCATATATGTGAAGCACTTTGAGTAACCATAAAAGCTCAATATAAATGTAACAAATTAAATATTCATATTATCACAGAAGTACTGGGTAAAAGTTTATGGTTTGGATATAAACGCTTATGTCTACAGAAGCTATCAAAATACAGCAAATCACCTTTTCAAAGTAACTTGGCGCGTCAAATAAAAACTTTATCGATTATGTCGTTACGCCAAAAAAAAGTATTTGTCATTGAATCATTCTTTCAATTCATTCAAGGTGATTCATCCAGTAACGAAACAAGTGAAGTATTTATAATTGAGTCATTTTGAATCGTTCATTCATACAATTTTTTTTAAATAATTCATTCAGATTAAATAAACATTTTAAGTAAACTGCAGCAATTAACATGTTGTTTTTATGTTGTCTGTTTAGAATCGTGGGAGAAATGTGATCTCTGTTTGATACCAAAAAATCAAAAACCAAAAGATTTTTATTGTAAAGGGTTTAAACCATGTTTTCCATGCTTGTTCAATGAACAATAAACAATCAATCATTAACACAGTGTCTACATCAGATGCAAGCGACACAACGCGACAAAAGCCCAGTAAACTGATGCCCTGTTCTATTTCTGACATACTCCAAGCACTCACACTCCTTCTGATGAAGGACGAATGGATTTGCAACGGTCGTATTGTCACATCCAGTGTGGACTGATTCTAGCTGTTGTGACGTGGCACAACGCAACTGGTGTAGGTGTAGACACGGTGTAAGACACTGTTTAAGGGCGTTTTCACACCTATAGATCGTTTGTTTTGTTCCGAAACAGGGACTTATTTTGTTACAATGTTGCATTTTCTTCTTGGTTCTGTTCGCTTTCACAAAGCAACCTTTCAAAGCATACCAAAATGTGTTCACGCAAGTCACATGCGAGTAACTGTCCTCTTAAAGGTCAGCCTCAGGAAAAGGTCAGTTTCCTCTGAGTCATCCATCAAGATGATTGACAAGTTCGCTCCATAAGCTTATTGTGGGTTTATTTGTAACTGTCGAGACACACACAAACACTATACGAATGTAGCCGTCATTCCCACTGTTAAATATATACTACATAGCATGCCTGTTGAATTGGAGGTTGAGGGCTTAGGCCATTCACCCCAGAAGTTTCTAGGAACTTGCAAGTACCTTGATGGAAGAACAACAAGAACTGGTAAATCTGGTGTAGTCCATGAGGAGGAGATGCACAGCAGCACTTAATGCTGATGGCCTCACGAGATGACTGTTACTGTGTAGTTCATTATACAGTGTTTCATCGTCTCAGAACGGCTCGGTTCATTTACTATGAATCAAGCCATTCTGAGACACTGAAACACTGTGAGCTACACGCGTGTTAATGAACACAGTGCCGAACTTCACTCAGAAATTGGCAGTGCATATACACTATATTGCCAAAAGTATTGGGACACCCCTCCAAATCATTGAATTTAGGTATTCCAATCACTTCCATGGCCACAGTTGTATAAAATCAAGCACCTAGGCATGCAGACTGCTTCTACAAACATTTGTAAAAGAATGGGTCGCTCTCAGGAGCTCAGGGAATTCAAGAGTGGGAACGTGATAAGTTGCCACCTGTGCAATAAGTCCATTCGTGAAATTTCCTCACTACTAAATATTCCAAGGTCAACTGTCAGTGGTATTATAACAAAGTGAAAGCTATTGGGAACAACAGCAGGTTGCAATGCAAAGTGTTGGATTCAGTGGTGTAAAGCACGCCACCACTGGACTCTAGGGCAGTGGAGACGTGTTCTCTGGAGTGACGAATCACGCTTCTCTGTCTGGCATTCTGATGGACGAGTCTGGGTTTGGTGGTTGCCAGGAGAACGGTACTTGCCTGACTGCATTGTGCCAAGTGTAAAGTTTGGTGGAGGGGGGATTATGGTGTGGGGTTGTTTTTCAGGGGTTGGGCTTGGCCCCTTAGTTCCAGTGAAAGGAACTCTTAACGCTTCAGCATACCAAGACATTTTGGTCATTCCTGTTTCAACATGACTGCGCACCAGTGCACAAAGCAAGGTCCAGAAAGACATGGCTGAGCAAGTTTGGAGTGGAGGAACTTGACTGGCCTGCACAGTCCTGACCTCAACCCGATAGAACACCTTTGGGATGAATTAGAGCGGAGAATGCAAGCCAGGGCTTCTCGTTTCTAGAAGAATGGTCAAAAATTCCCATAAACACACTCCTAAACCTTGTGGAAAGCCTTCCCAGAAGAGTTGAAGCTGTTGTAGTTGCAAAGGGTGGGCCAACTCCATAGCATATTAAATTTAAAAAACGGATTAAGAATAGTATGTCATTAAAGTTCATGTGCATGTAAAGGCAGACGTCCCAAAACTTTTGGCAATAGTGTATTTATTTGCTGGCAACCCATCAAAATAAAATATTGATGGTATATTAATTGACAATTAAGAAATGAAGACATAAATATTAGTATTGTAACTTTACAGTAAAATATAATTATTTTATTACTTTTTTATTTTACAGTACAATAATATTATTACAATATTTCATGTTGTTTTATATAGTTAATAATGATTACAATAAAATCAAAAAAAAAATTTTTGGTATTTTTTACATTGGTATTTAAATAGTATAGGCTTATGTCCAACTTTATTCTTGTACAGTACAAATATTGCATTTAATTCACTTCATCTGTGATAAAGTATGTTGTTATTCATGCAAAGAAGCTAGCTAAATTCAGCAAAGAAAACACTGACACAATGATGAACAAGTAACAATAATATTCGTAATAAATATAATTTTACTGAATAATAAAGTAAATATAATTTCTTAATTTATCCTTGTAAAGAAACCTCATTGCTTAACTGGCTACTCACTGCTGTCTCAGACGACGACATCTTTTCCTGTCGGCCACCAAAACTTCTGTTGGTTGCAATTCGCAACCTCACCGCTAGATGCCGCTAAAAATTACACACTGCACCTTTAAGTGGAAAGAGACTTTTTTTTTTTTCTATGTTTTTTTGGCTCTTGTATATGAACACCCAAATAGAGCTATTCAAAGTAACCTGCTTAAAATTTGTGTATATTTTGTAGAGATGAAAAACAAAATCAGTTTTGACAAAATCATAATACTTTTCAAAAGGAAAAATCTCTTATTTCTCATTGTGCCACTAGGGGGCTCTCTGAAGACAACGGCAGAGGCGGATGCTGAATCCCTGCAAGCTCAGTGGTGGGATCGTGAGTCTCCACTTCCTCTTCGTGCACGTGACATACTGCCCCTCATTGATGCTGGAATAAAATATCGCCAAAATCCCTGGTTTCCTGCATTACAACCTGTTGACTTCCCTTGTCACGTTATTTGCCAAAGACTTTTCATCACATTCGTCTCCAGCAGTGGTAGCACTGACACCAGTGATGAGGACCGCCTGTGGCTTCTGCTGAGCAATAATAATGCCAGTTCTCATCCCAGTCTTCCTATTGAAGTATCAGTTAACACATACATCTCGTGGGCTGCGCACAGACTGATTAAGGAGTGCATATCTTCGTCTTTTGCGTTCATAAACATTATTATATGTGGCATTCTGGGAGTGCAGCACAATGGGAGAACACCAGGGAAAACAGACGGCATCTGCTTCAACACGCTTGTGTTAATGGAAAATTCAGAGGGCGGGCCTGAAATCAGCAGCCCACCACCATTGGAGAGTGACAGTTACAGATGGCATGAAGTGACCAATCAGAGCCTCAGGGCAAAGATAAAACAGAGGATTAAAGATGGGTCTGTTCTGCCTGTTCAAAGTCAATACTGATGCTCTGCCACTCTAGTAGAGGATCA